TTTAACTCGCAATTGCGAGTTTATATCTCACAATTCTGACTTCATTACTCGCAATTGCGAGTTTATATCTCACAATTATGAGAAAAAAAGTCAGAATTGCGAGAAAAAAGTCAGAATTGTGAGTTTATATCACGCAATTCTGACTTTATTTCTCAGAATTGCGAGTTTATATCTCTCAATTATGACTTTTTAACTCGCAATTGCGAGTTTATATCACGCAATTCTGAGAAAAAAAGTCAGAATTGTGAGATAAAAAGTCGCAATTACCTCTTTTATTTTTTATTCAGTGGCGGAAACGGGCTTCCATAGAATCGCGTTTGTGCCGAACTCTTATTACAAAGCAAAAACAAACACTCTTCTTTGATCCATGAATGTTTCTCTCAGTTAATGTGTGTGATGTCATCTCACAGTCTGAAACGTCTTTCATAGCAAATCAACACATGCTGTTGTGAATAATTAAGTGAAGCTGTCTTCTCATAGGATAAGAACACACAGTCTCATGAATAATTTAATAGACACGACGCGTCATCGATGTACTATAGTCCATTGCCACGTCACAAATTGTGACTGTCAACACAATGTAGATTTTAAACCCGGAAGATGAAAATAGCACAAAAAAGCTTAAAATTAACCAGTTTTCTCCAACAGTTAAAATTATCGGACGCTAACATTGTCTTCTATGATGTGCAACACAAACACCTCTGCTAAAATCTCAGAAAAAGTAGTCTGGGGTTTCATGGCCCTTTAAAGCTGGTACAATGCAATATGTTCATTGTGTAACATTCGGTGACCTCTTTTAAATTGTCATGTGTGCAGTGGATCATGCCTTTCACGGTGATGCTGGTGTTCATCCCTAATCTGATAGTGGCATATGTCGTGGCCGTATCATCTGGGCTTAGTGTGGCCGCTTCTCTCTTGTTACCATGGTGAGTCTTACAAACCAAAATATAATACTGTTTTACTCATAAACGAAGTATGGTATTTTTTGATTTTTCAATTCCAGATCAGTTTCGCAGTGGCAATGACAAAGGCAGCATCACTCTCATCTTCTTCAGAAATGTTGCTTATGCCATGCATTGGAGAGAGGATTATAACTTGTTTATTTAAGCTTTGATTTAACCCCTCGGATACATAGGTTTAATAACCCAGCAGTCTCCAAATAACAGGTTTCATGGCAAGGTCATGCTGTTTTTTGGTTTTTAAAGATACACTCGGGTTGATTGGAAAATCCCCAAATGAGTAAATTGCAGCTTTATGTGCCGACTACAAAGAAGATTTGGCTTTATGGTACCAATGCCCATGTTTAATGGAGATGATGATTGATGCCTCCGCCTTGTTGTGTTTCCTGTTGCTCAGGTCAATGTTACCAGATGTAGTGGATGACTTCAGACTGGCAAACCGCAACTCAAAAGGACACGAGGCGATCTTCTACTCCCTATATGCTTTCTTCACTAAGTTTGCTGCAGGCATTTCTCTCGGAGTGTCGACGCTCTGTCTCCAGTGAGATCACTCTTTCAGTATTTACAGCTGGGAATGATGAATCATGACAGGCAGTGGTGTATTTTTGTGTTGAAATGTATTGTTGGTGTCTGTAGGTTTGCTGGTTATGACACAGGGGCGTGCAGACAGCCCCCTCCAGTGGTCTATACGCTCAAACTGCTCATCGGTGCCGCCCCGGTGGCCTGTATCACCACAGGCCTCATGATCCTGGTGCTGTACCCGATCAGTGAGGACGTCAGATTACGAAACAAACTCGCCCTGGAGGAGCTCAGGTGAAGACCCTGATTTACAGAAAATCCATTGCTTTCCTTCAGCAAGTATGCATTAAATTCACAGCAGTAAAGACATTTATAATGTTGCAAAAAAAAAAAAAAAAAAGTCTATTTCAAACAAATGCTGTTTATTTGTACTTTCCATACATCAGACAACCCTGAAAAAAAAAATATTAAGCAGCACAACTGTTTTTAACATTAATAAACAATAAATGTTTCTCGAGCAGCAAATCAGCATATTAGAATGATTTCTAAAGGATCATGTGACTGAAGACTGGAGTAATGATGCTGAAAAATCAGCTGTGCGTTACAGGAATAAATAGCATATTCAAATATATTCAAATAGAAAACAGTTGTTTGAAATTGTAATAATATTTCACAATTTGTCTTATTTTTATTGTATTTTTGGTCAAATAAATGCAGCCTTGGTGAGCATAATGATTTCCTTCAGAAACATTTAAAAAATCTTACAGAAGCCAAACATTTGAATGGCAGTGTGTATGTATATAAAAATGTAAATATAATTGAATTTATATTGATGTATTTTGTATATACTATATATAATAAAGTATATATTTGTGGTTTATTTTTCAGAAGCCAGAGTATTACCTGTAAATCTCTCAGAGCTGAACTGAGCAGCGCGTGACATCCTCAAACAGCCGATCCTTATATTCTAGCCCAGCGCGGGGATGAGTCGTGTTAGTGTATATTACACTGTGTGACATATATAATGTTTTACTGTAAACATTTCAGTTTGTTTCTGTATTCAGTTTGTTTCTGTATTTTCAAGTGAACATATAGCCACATATACAGTATCTAATTTACACACATGAATGGACTATGTATCATTATATATCAGGATTTCCTGAGGGAAAATTTACTGATAATATATTAAGTTGTATTAGTGATAATAAATATTAGTGAATGACTCGATTACAGGATTAATAAAAATTGTGCTGGTACACGTAGCTTCAGCATATTTCGAAGATGCTTCAATAAATGTAAAAAAAATATATAATAACAATATATATTATTTGGATGAATTCATGTATCTATCTATATGTGCTTGTACAGTATGTTTTTAAACATAAGCCCAAAGGAATCTTTACATTTAATATAAATAATAACCAGGCAATGCAAAATGTGCAAAGGTGGACTTAAAAATTATTTTACAAAATTTAAATGAAACAAAGATTAGAAAGTTTTTCTACTTAAACATTTCATGTTTAATTCAGTGTTACTTTGCAATTATTTCTGAAATTTAAGCAATAATCTGAGTGAAATAATCATTTTTCAGTGTGTGAATGTGCTATTATTCGGTTCTTTTAATGTGGGTTATTACTATGGAACCAGAATGTGATGTCATGTGTTCCTTACAGCTTCAAATCAATGAAGAAACAAAAAAGAATACAATCACTATGAATCTTCTTTAATTTCACAAAATTTCATTTTGTTGTGTGGGACAAAATAGCAACTATTTAAGCAAAAATAATCAAGCAGGCACTCAAGTATTTCATCTGAAAATTAAAAAACTGTTCTGCCCTTGACAACTGTCACGTTACATAAATCTATCAACATCCAATAAATATCACAGTGGCGAATATGTCAGCAAGACGTTTTCCCTGAATTCCAAACTAAGAGTTTGGATTATCCCTGTGTTAGCCACAGATGTCCAGCTGACACAAGACAAATATCATAAAAATATTTCTAATAAGTCCTCTTGAGATGATACAGGCTTCATTTTTCTGCAATGGGAGACACTGGACTTTCAGGGGGAAATACATCAGCGCAACTCGGGGGTCTTATAGGAGATTTCCTTCTTGCACTCCTGATTGTGAGCTCATCTTTGTCTTTAAATGTGAGCGGAACGAAACCATCTGCATCAGCCACCAAGACGATCCACATGGGACCTGTGAGAAGAAGAAAAAAGTATTTAAAGGAATTGTTCACCCAAATATAAAAATTAGCTGAAACTTGTACTCACCCTCAGGCCATCCAAGAAGAAAATGAGTTTGTTTCAACAGATTTGGATAAATGTAGCATTACATCACTTGCTCACCAATAGATCCTCTGCAGTGAATGGGTGCCGTCAGAACGAGAGTCCAAACAGCTGATAAAAACATCACAATAATTCCACAAAGTAATCCACACCACTCCAATCCATCAATTTATGCCTTGTGAAGCAAATAGTAAAATAGTCCATTTACAAGCGAAAACAGTCCATTTACAAACCAAAACAGTCTTAAAGAAATATGTTCAGACAACATAGGATAACTTTTTCACTGGAGGAAACGTTATTATGGATTATTAACTCAATTATGCATTTGTTTCTTACAAACACACAGCTTTTCACTGGATTACTTGTGGATTATTGTGATATTTTTATCAGCTGTTTGGACTCTCATTCTGACGGCACCCATTCACTGGAGAGGATCCATTGGTGAGCAAGTGATGTAATGCTACATTTATCCAAATCTCTTCCGGAGAAGAAACAAATTCATCCACATCTTGAATGACCTGAGGGCGAGTACATTTTCAGCAAGTTTTCATTTTTGTGTGAACTATTCCTTTAAATCTATGAGAAATTTCTGCACAGTAACTTGTGGTCTTAGCATAAGTGACAGTGGTTCAAGCATACATCAGCTGTAGAGATGCACGTGCTGTGTAAAAGGCTGTAAGCCGATTCAAACTTAAACCCTTAAATCCGATTGCTCCACCTAATCGCTTCCTATTTTAGTCATTGACAATTAAATGAAGCCAAAGCACACCGAACAATCTGTCTTCAACAAAGGAAAACAGGATTCGTGCTTTGCACGGCTTCATAAATACATGCCATCTGCTTGCTGTAAAACATCAAATCTGCCTGAAACGTCAACACAGAGATCTCAGAAACATTCAGGTGCTTCGTTCAGTGTGCAATGGTTGCAACTGCTATTCAAATTCAAATAGTCAGTTTATCAATGCAAAGGGTGACCATATATACTTATTTCTTGGATATATCTAGGCCAGCATTTCTAAAGTGCCTAAAATGTCCAGTTTTGGCTTTGTTTTCCAATTGTTTTCATGCTTGCTGCAGGTAAATGACTGAAAAGTAGTTTGACCAATAGCATGGAGGCACTGCATATAATCGACCAATTGTGTTACTGGAGAAGGTGGGATTTACAGAGAAAGGTCAAAGCAATGCAAATGTGTAGATTTAATGTGCTACAGAGCACGTCAATAAGAAAACAAAGCCAAAACCCAGACATTCTAGGCAATTTAGAAATCAAGGCCAGGACATATGGGAAAAAGAGGACGTATGGCCACCCTATACATATCTGCATCAGATTACGTCTCATTTTATTACATATGCATTGATCAAGGTGGTGGGATTGACATTTCGGAAAGTCTCCATATTTATATGTGATGGAGACTCATTCTTCCAGACATACCATGCATCATCTCTATGACCGTCAGGCCGAAGAGTTCCTGCACCACCCGCAGGCAGATCCGTCCCCCACAGAGCAACAACGGCCTTCTCTCATCCGTATACACATTCTCAGACAACTGTTTCTGAAGGAAAAGACAAATACAAAGTGCAGCACCATGAGTCACTTTAAGGAAGCATCATTCACAATGGACCTGGTCATGTGGTCGTGGATTAAGTCTGATGATTCCCCTAAAACAAGTTATGCCAAGGTCAACAGAATCACTTCAATCTGACATCTGCTGACAAAGGGTTGTACTGACAACAGTGAGAGGAATTATGAGTTGGCGTGATGCCTCACAATGCTAAACGGCCTGATGGTCTGACTAAGAGTAAAATGGGCTTTGTAGAGTCTTGGTGTGGATTAGGATTTAGCTCTAGAAGTAAATCATCTAATCAAGTAATCATTTATTTTGCTGTGTAATTATTATATTTAACATTTAAAATGCAAATTAAGCAGCATGTGAAATGCTTTGGAATATGAAGAAAATCTACTTATGAATTCAACAAACAGTTGTTTGCTCAGAACTACTAATACAATTATTGTATTAAAAAAAACAATAAAACTAATGCAACTACTCAATAAAAATAAATCATGAAAATGTCTGACAAAAAATGCCAGAAATGACTATAAGGGTCTGTGATATCATAATTTTTATATTTACATTATAATGTATTGTAATGCAAATGACTATAAATAATCATAATTATTTATAAGAATTATAATTTAGATTAGTCAAATTATTTATGAATTCATTATTTATTTATAAGTTATTTATAAACAAATGAAATAAATGATTAGGCTCTGTGCTTTTATATTGTAATGTTTACATTTACATTATAGTAATGCAAACTCTTATAAATAATAATAATTATTACTCTATATTAATTATAATTTAGATTATTTATTAATAATATTTAGAATTTTTAGTATTAAATGTTTTTATATTACTAAACATAAAAAATTATTATAATTATTATTAAATTTAATAGTAATATAAATGATAATATTGACATTTTTCTAATAAAAATTTTAACGTTGTACATTTTTCACATTATATGTAGCTTTTTTTGTTTTAGAGTCTTGAATTTGCATATTGAGAATACTGGACAAGATGATATTTCAATACAATGCCGAAAATAGAATTATGCAATTTAATCAAACAAATAAATCAACAGATTAGTTTTTTTTTTCTAGATTTTTCTACTACAGAAGACTGCTGATTTTGCCTGCACAATTTAAAAGAAAACGACGGGTCATTTCATACCTGACACGTAATGTGCACATATTGCGGTTCATAAGCAGATGGATAACTGCATGCAATCTTCTTGCCGTTCTGGGTGAAGTCTCTGATTTCTGTGAGGCACTGCTGGACATCAGCAAATCGGGTAAAAATCCTCTCCATGTTCTGCGTCAGCTGCTCCAAGTTCTTTTCTTTGGATTGACAGCTGTTCTTTGGTGGCGTTGCATCGGAGTATAATTTTTCCGAGGCTTCGTACCTTGGCGAACAGGGTCGACTGGAATCCCGGCTGGCCTGACTGGCTACGGCGAGCGTAGCCATGCGGCTGATGTGATCCATGTCGTAGGTTTCCAGAGTAACAGAAGAGGCACTGGATGCTCTATCTGAGAAGTCGGCGGAGCTCGCCACGGGGCTCAAATCTGAGCTGCGTACCTCCTCGATTAGTTTCCTCTGACTAGATGGCGAAACAATTACCGAGCCTCCAGGAAGTATTAGATCCTTAATTGATAGACGGTCCTCTTTAGAAAAGTTCTCAGAATGACGTCTAATCCCATGATGTTGGCTCGCCGACTCAGACTTGGGAACCACTGGGGTGGCACCTTCCTCATCGAATACCAGCTCCTTGGCTATTAGCCTCAAGATGTACTTGTCCGTGTTAGAGGAGGGGAGGAAAGCAGGATCATTGGACTTCTGCCGGCCAATCATGAAGAGCAACATCTTGTTGGTGAAAAAGCACACCCCTTTGGGCCTCTCATTTTTTTGCAGCTGGATCTGTTGCACGTTGGGAATGGAAGAATCCGTGATGCAGTAAACTAGGATCATGTTGCACGTGTTGGACGCCACAGCCACCGTGCTCCCGCTTGCATCGAAGGCGATAATATCAGGGACCAAGATGCCAGGGATGCTGACCTTCCTCGTAGTGGTGACCTTGCGTTCATACGTCACCAGAATCAGATGTGACAAGTCCTGACCTGTTCCCGTCAAATTATCCCGCCGCCTCAAGTGAATGAGCGGACTTGGATCTGATTTTCGGTGTTTGGCAAGAATCTGTGTTAGATCTATGGGTCCGGATGAGGAGGCGTGTTCCGAGTGCTCAGAATCACATGATCTCCGTCTGTCCAAATAATAGTCCGCATCCACTGTTAAAACGGGAGAAGGGCGGCATGTCGAAGCCTCTGACTCGTTAGGCAGGTCGAACGCAATACCTGCATTGAGCCCGCAAATTTTATCAAGCGGAAGTTCAGTCGCTACAGCCACTTGAGACTCGTTGGTGGACTCGATGGCGCAGATATACCCACCTACATCGCAAACAGGGCAGAAGGAACACGCCACCAGGCTTTTTTGGATGTCGTTCCAAATATACGAGTGCAATGCGCTTCCGATGGCAACCACCAGGCGGGTTCCATCTTTAGTCCAGCAGGCACAATGGATCAGACCGCTGCCCTTGATCTCGGCCTTCACGCGACGATTATCGACCCGCACGGAAAACAAGACCGAGGCATCCCGCTTGGTCAAAACGGCTAAGATGTCCATTTTGGGATGCCAGACGCATCCCTGGGACAGCAGCGGGAACGGCTCGCTCATTTCACAGGTCTGCGTGCAGAGGAGTTTGTTCTGCTCTAAAGCGCTCAGTTGAAGTTGCCAAACCGTGACATGCTTTTTATGCTGGACGGCAAGCAACGCCGGGGACCCAGAGCAGCACAGCGGCCCCCAGAAGAGTCCCAAGATGTGTTCAAACTGTCCGATGACATTGGTGTCACCAAATTTGGGCTCACCGTCTACAGAATACAATGACGTGAGACAAACCTGCTTACCGTCCGTCCAGGCTATTCCGTGCACTGGGTGAATGGCTTGGTGCAGAGTGTTCAACCCTGTTCTTAGAAGCTTGGCTTTTCCCAGCTCCATGCTTGGTTCAGTTTCTCCAATGGAAAGGAAAATAATGTTCCTGGTCATACAGGAAAGAGGTTTCCAGTCAGAATTGAGAGATAGATGTAACTCTGTGCTTCAGTAGGAGAAGACTGCCATCACATACTCCAAGAATAGGTAAAGCCTCTTCCCTCACTCTCTAATCCTATTGGCCAGAGTGAGGCTCCACTCAAGGATGACCAGATTAGACTGACATGACCCCCGACGTCATAAAACCCTCTGAGGTTGGGATGCTATGTCTTTTGACTTTGTTTTTTTTCTGTCCCAGGCCTGAAATGCACAAAGAACATATATAAGACAAACACTATATCAGGGGTGTCAAACTCAGTTCCTGGAGGGCCACAGCTCTCTAGAGTTGAGTTCCAACCCTGCTCCAACACACAAACCATGTACTTTTCAAATAAGCCTGAATGACTTAAATTAGCTGGATCAGGTGCATTTAATTAGGGTTGAATCTAAACTCTGTAGGGCTGTGGCCTTCCAGGAACTGAGTTTGAAACCTGTGCACTATATGGACAAAGGTATTGGGACACCCCCTTCTATTGAACAGGTTTGACTACTTTAGTCATTTCCAGGAGTACAAATCTTAATGTTAAACACACAATGATATTCTAGGGAATTGTGTGCTTCTAATTTTATAGCAACAGTTTGGACAGGACCCTTTTCTATTCTAACATGACAATGCCTCTGTGTATAAAGCAAGGTTCAAAAAGAAATTATTGATTCAGTCAGTGTGGAAGAACTTGACTGGTCTGCATAAAGCCAAGTCCTAATCCCAGCTGAAGACCTCTGGTGTGACTTTAAATGCAGACCTTGAGCCAAAAAGTCATCACCAAACACCAATGACTTGTACATACACTATATAGACAAAAGTATTGGGACACCCCCCTCTGTATAATAGAAAAAAACTGTTCCAAAACTGTGGCAACAAAGATGGAACCATAATTAATTTATGTAAAAGTTGTATTTCCATCTCCGTTGCAACATTTTTGGAAGTGTCTAAAATGACTGAACACACATGTACAAGTAATTGGTATTTGGTGAAATGAAGTGTTCAGCTGGGATTAGGACTTGGCTTTATGCAGATCAGTCAAGTTCTTCCACACTGACTGAATCAATCATTTCTTTTTGAACCTTGCCTTTTACACAGAGGCACTGTGATGTTGGAATAGAAAAGGGTACTGTCCACATTAATGTTGCTATAAAATTACGAGCAAACAATTCCCTAGAATATCATTATATTCTTAAACATTAAGATTTGTACTCAAGGAAATTACTAAAGTAGTCAAACCTGTTCATTAGAAGGGGGTGTCCCAATACTTTTGTCCATATAGGCCTAGTGTATATATGCTGATATTACAAAACAGGCCGTTAAAGGGGTCATATGATGCTGCTAAAAAAAACATTATTTGGTGTATTTGGTGTAATGAAATGTGTTTATGCGGTTTAAAGTAAAAAAAACACATTATTTTCCACATACTGTACATTATTGTTTCTCCTCTATGCCCCGCCTTTTTGAAACCCGCCGATTGTAGATATGTGGGGGCGTGTTAGAACGAGCCGTTTTAGGTAGGTGTGGCTGACTCTTAACTTTTATAAAGAATATCTCTTTGGATTTGAGACTTTAGTCTTTGCAACTTTACAGATCTTCTTTATGTACCAAGAGCTTGTAACACTCCAAAGAGAAAATAAAAATTGAAATCGCATCATATGACCCCTTTAAGGTGCGCCATGCAAAAAAGATCCATTGTTTCTTGTCAATAGCATAATGATGTACAGAACTCACTTTCAAATCAAGCAGGCCTGTTGGTCAGCAAGGTGAATTCAAGTGATCCAACTAGAAAATGATAGAAATCTGCATTTTTGCCCCCAAACGAAATTCCCAAACGCGCAAATTCCTATAGGAATGACTCAATTTCGTAAATTCCAAGAGCAATGGTAAATGTGACCGCACCTTTACAAATACATGATAACCATATTTACTACAGTTATTAATACTAACGTTACAATAAACCTGTGGTGACTTGTTAGCAGCCAGCATTTTAAAAGGGCATGCTATTTGATTTTATAATAGTACAAATAACTGTATTTAACATGATGTAACATGATATATATGGTTATTTTTGTAATGGGAAGTCATTTTACTACAACATACATAAATTAAGAATGAGAAGCATCACATAAATGTCACTTTAAACTTTAGACATTGTTTCCACAAAATAACCCCTTACTAAAAGGTAAAGTGAGACCACATAAATATTTTAAGAGCTTATTTAATTGTTTAGAGTTGAAATTTACAGTAGCAACAATAACTGTAATACCTATCATACTCTGACAGAAACAATTATAATTTGATAATTTTTCTGTGAGGGGCATTAGCGCAACTATTTGATTCACATGCATTAACGTTACACCAATACCACACATGTTGGCCTGTGAAGCACTCTAGAACAATCTAAAGGAAAATATAAGAAACTGCATACAACGACTCTCAAAAAATAATATTACAAACATACCATGCTGTTGACAAAACTGTGGAAACCATGGCAACTCCGCGCATAGAAAAACATACTAACTTGAGCTGTGTCGGTATTTCCCCGCGGAGACTTTTAAAGTCATGGACAACCGGAAAGAGAATGACTCAGGCATTCTGGGAACTGTAGTTCACAGACGTTCAAACTGAGATTGAGGTCTCTGCAGAGCAAAATTGGGTGTTTCTAAATTTGTGGGTGTTTTCAAACTGCAGGGTGTTTCTAAATCGTGCAATCAAAATGATCTCCCTTACCTAACCCCACCCCTAAACATAGCGTCACTATGACGTTAACCAATCAGGAAACATGATCTAAAAACGCCTCGATTTGGTAACTCCCATTACTTTCCTGCATAGACTAGAGAACGGAGGTTTGATTCATTTCCGCGAATCGATTCTTTCGAACAGTTCGTTTTAAGGGGCCAGTTTTGACGATTCAGAATTTCTTTACGTCAAGACCAGGTCAAGACATAATAGTCATCACGCGATTTCGGCGTTGGCACATTACCTTATCTAAAATGTTCAAATAAAACCTTAAAACAAATAGGTACATTACATATGTTTTCTTATATTTTGGTTAAAATCATTGATAAGGGTATTCGTTGGAGCCATGATTTAGCTACTAAAACAAAGCTATTTATAATATTATTAGCATTTACAAAAAACAAAACTACAATTTATTTAAATAGCCTATCTTTGTTTAAAAAAGTTTTTGTGTGCATGTATTACAATCAAGTTTTATTTGTTAACATTTCTGCTAATTAATTACTGCTCCATCATCAGTCAAATTTTACATTTAGCCTACATTTACATTTAGTCATTTAGCAGACGCTTGTATCCAAAGCGACTTAAAATGATGACAATAGAAGCAATCAAAACCAACAAAAGAGCAATAATATACAAGTGCTATGACAAGCCTAACGCAGTAGCTACATGTAGCAAGTTTAAAATATATATATAAATATACAGTAGGCCTACATATAACAAAAATAACACAAGTATATAGAATAGAAAAAGAATAGAGAAAGCTGTGGGAGGCCTTTTTTTTAATATAGAAAAGCAGTTAGAAAACGAATAGAGAGTGTCAGTGTTAGAGGGTCATGTCAACAAATAGCTTATGAAATAGAATTAGAATAGAGAGTGCTAGAGTTAGAGGGTCAAATAAAGATGGAAGAGATGTGCTTTTAGCCGTTTTCTGAATATGGCTAAGAACTCAGCTGCTCGAATTGAGTTGGGCAGGTCATTAAAAGACCGTGAAAGTTTGTGCCTCTTTGGGATGGCACAATAATGCGCCGTTCACTCGCAGAACGCAAGCTTCCAGAGGGCACATAAGTCTGAAGTAGTGAATTAGATACATTTTCGTACAAAAAGAATCAGTTCACAGTTTTCGACTCCTTACGAATCAAAAAGAGACCGCCTTCGGTTTAATGATTCGTTAACCTGAAGAAGTTCAGACTTCAGTCAGTTCGAGAACCGACTACTGATTCAATCTAGTTCGTAATCAAATCGTTGAGGCTAGTTTGATAAACCAGTTCATTAAAAATGACTCAAAGAACGATTATACGTAAACTATACCAACGCAGGTACAGCATTTTTATATATTTTTTTACATTATGTAGGCTACAACAGTAACATATTTTATAAGTGCTACTCACTAGATTTTACACAGTACTGTACACTATTCCAGCATGCCAGAATCTCCTAGACTGATGGTTTATCAGACAAGAATCGTGTCTAATATTTCACCGCGGCTTGACCATTGTAGGGGAGAGCGTGGCACAAAGTAACACTTTTTGACTTTCTCATATTGTGTAAATCCACATGGGGTTCAGAATAAAAAATTTTTATCCACAGTAATTTTACACTTGTCTAGTACAAATATGTCGCTTTGTTTCATGATTACAGTGTATACGTTTTTCTTTATTTACCCTCAAAAAATGGAAGTGAAATGTGACAACATGCCCCGTAGGTGGGGTACAATAGGTGCGTTCGACTTGAAGCATCGCTACAGACGGCAGTCAATAGGTGCGTTCGACTTCATGCCGCGCCGCGCAAACCGATCGGCGGCTGACTTAAAGCAGTGCATGCCGGTTAGAAATTTTGTCCGACTTGAACCGGCGCGGACTCTACGTCACTGTCACGTGTGGCATCAAAGTACCGCGATAGCGTTTCGAGAGCAGCCGGCTGACTCAGCTGGCGCAGCTTTTTCAGAGCGACTGCAGGAGTGCTGATGACGACACAGCTGTTTCACGATTGGCCAAATTCACCACATGACAACAATGACGTGTGTTTCTAACATCTTCAAATCCAATACTGCTCATAAATCTGTGTTTTTAGAACATTAAAAGCTTTTTTACTGTAGTCGCAATGTTATACTGAGTCACGTTTATCATGAAAGCTTATATACCCCGGGACGGCCCACATAAACGAGCCAAAATGCTTTACATGTCTTGAAATAATAATTTCTAAACATTAAACATTGACTGTCAGTCTTTATTCACCTGTTTCTCGTTGTTTCTCATTAAAATTCATTAAAGTAAATAGTGTGAATTACATCGCTAATGTCATAGAATAGCACATTGTAACGCAGTGTTACAACGTGCCCCATCTGCGCAACTGGAGTTTAAAACCAGTTGCTGTCTTCTGCTAGTTATCAAAGCATTAAAAAACTATCTAAACTGATAAATAACAGATTGGAGATTAAAATAA